CAGACTAAGTAAAGTGCTCATATTTGGCATTGGGGCTGGAGAGTGAGTTTCCATAGCTAAGTAGCTTTAAGGTGGTTTGAAAACAATTAATAAGCCATATGCTTCAGGATTTTCTAGAAGTAGAGATGAACATGTAGCAAGGAAAGACTTCCCAGAAATGCCTTTGCCTCATCTTCTCTAAATCTCTAGGCCTTGTGAAAAGTGGCATCATTGCTTGGCAGAAACCCTGCCACACTCTATATCCAAGAGAACTACAGAATGCTTAATCATGGTAGATGACACTCACACCTCCTCCAGTGTGCAGTCTTACAACTGAATACCCCAAGTGACAAACAACAGGGGAGTTGGCTAGCCAGCCTGTCATTATTGGTAGAAAATCCCTACAGAGAAATGCCTGAGTCTAGTTCTTTGCAAAAACCTAAGTTCCTCTAAGGGACTGTATATAATTTCATTTTCAAAAACTCTGCCAAATTCTAAAAATGCTTAATGTTGACCAATTAAACAAGAAAAAAGTATAATAATACGTTTGTCCTTCAAAACACTATATACCATAGCTAATTAAGGTCCTTATTACAAATTATATATAATAATCAATGATAGGCTTTTCCAATTGAATCCTTATATGAGTGAGATTAACACAAACAGCTCCTGACAAACTTGGCCCAGGGTCAAGCACTGTATTTCCTCTTGGTTTTGGGAAAAAGTCAAAGTTATTATAAATGGTTGCCAAGGGAAGATATATGCTATTTTTCTCTACTGATTTGAAGTAGGTCAGATGGAGAGCTGAAGGCCTCCCTAAGGTTATAATTAAGCATGAATATTAAAAAATGAGAACAAATAAAAAAAAAACAACTTCTCTTAGGCTTTTACATCAGAGATATTTCACTATGTTTGCCCGTCAGGCAAGATACACTCTTTGGAAAAAGGCACAGAATTGAAAGAAAAGTTTTATTTTTAAGTGTGCAATAGCTCTTCAAGCCTAGACTTTGAGCAAGATTCACTCAAGCACAAAGGCTTTGAAGAGGTATTTAACCAGGTAGAGTTAGGGCAAAAATACACACAAACTCAATATGCAGAGTGACTACTGGAATTTAATTCTGCAAGTATTTTTCTTTCCCCTTGAAAAATCCATCTTTGTGTCTCTTCCCACCTCAATCATTCAGTCTTATAAAATCATCTTAATCAAGTCAATATCTGCACTAGCAATGTAAATTTAATTTCAGTGAGGCTTAAGTAAACATTGGCTCTAAGACATTGCTTGGCCTATAGAGTGATAACTGAATTAGGTAGGATTATTTCATCATTATTCTGTTAAGCCCACATTGTTACACAAGAGAAGCTAATATTTCTAAGTTGTTTTAGCCTAGCAAAATATACTCTAAGCATTTACATGAGCCAATCTTGTGCATGCCCTCCTATGGAAGGAAGGCTTCGTGGAGCTATGAAATTGGTATACACTGCAGCTGTAATAGCAGTGCAGAGACAGGAATGTGAAACTAGGAAGCTTCACACTGGACCCCATCCAACGGTCTAGTGATCAAACTACCAAAGGACCTCATTAGAAGGGAAATCTGCGGAAGCTGGCACCCTGGTTTCTTGATAGCCACTTTAGTTGGATCCCCACGGACCTGGAGAATATTCACAGTCTTCCCTTTCATTATGTTTGCTTGTCTAGCTGTGGAAAATAAACAGGCCCTCTCTAGACTTAAAGAGTCCTCCATGAAGGCTCCACCCAAGCATTATTTCTTCCAGGATCCTTTCCTTTACCTCCCTGTCTTGAGACATTTCTACATTGGGGCACTTACCTCATGACAAAATTATATTTCTGCCTCTTCTTGGAAACCTAGGGGCCAGCTGCATCATTGTTGATCTTTGGGTTAAGCATAGGAACTGGCACATATTAGGGGCTCAATACTGTTTTTTGAATGAATGAATTGCAAAGACATGCAAACACCTACTATGTGCTAGGTGGTAGAAAAAGAGAGAGAAGACATATTCTCTAGAAGTTGAGGATCTGGGTCAGGGAAATAGGGCGTGTAAAGAGAAGCAGAAGAATAAAAGCCAATACTGAACGAGGGCCAAAGCAGTGAACTGCCAGGATTATAGTAGAGTACCCTTGTAAAAAGAGCCAGACCATTGCACAAAGGAAGCCTGGGGCAGGAGGAGCTCAAGTTCAAGGTCAGCCAAGGCAACTTAGTGAGACTGTTTAAAAGGGGCGGGGGGCGGGGGGGACATGGGCAAAGCCCTCTTAATGGAGATAAAAAGTATTACAGTTTAATTTACTATAGTATAGACAAGACTGGATTTTGCATCCAGACAAAACCAAATTCAAATCCTGACTCCTTTACATGTTCTTGGGCAAATCACTTAACATAGCTAAACCTCAATTCATCCATACATATGAACATAAAAATAATAACTTTTTCCTAGATGTGAGACAAAATATTTAAAGTTCTTTGCATAGGGTTTACATACAAGACATGTAATTATTGCTATTACTGCCCTTTCTCCTGACAGGGCTAGGACAGGTTTAAACAGCTTCATCCTAACTATGATAGAAGGACTGCAGCAATGAGTATAAATAGAGGACCAATGTGAAATTTTAAGGTCCTTCTTTCTCTATATTGGATCAAAATCATAGTATACAGCAGATTTTTAAATAGAATGATTGGTATTAATTTGAACACGATTAAGTAGCTTGCACACTTCCCTGAAGTACTGTCTTTCTGAAAATATGGATCTCAGCTATGGAAGCATTCAAGGCATCTGTGGGACAATTATTTAGTATGCCAGTCAGTGCCTTATTAGCCCCCTTGGTTAAAGCAAGGTCTCTGCCAATTTTCTTTTTCACCTCTTTTGCACCATTAGTCACTAGCAAGCAGATCATCTCCTTTAATTACTCTTAATTACTTTTAATTTTTTTGATTACTTTCTCTGTAGCATAACGTCCCTTGTGAGAACAGTATAGATACTGTGTATCATTTATGGCAGCCATGGTGTGTCCAGAAATGTTCAATAACCTGTTCCTGGATACTACTGGCCATTCATTACCAAAGTGATGACTCTTTCTCCTATGATTCTATGACATTAGGATCCAATGAACACTACAGCATTCTCTAAAAATATATTTGATACTCTGTTATCATCTTATGCAGAAGTTTAATCAAGTAATCCACTGAGGCTACCTTATGAAATACTTTTAGAATTGTCTTGAGGATGCTAATTTTAAAATTGGTTGGGAAAATCTACTGTGAAGTCTGCATTTTCTCTATTTTTCTGGAAATTTAAAAAATTTCTTTGGTAGAAAACTTCTTCTCTCTGATAGTATTTTTATCCTCTATATATTGGAGTCATTTTTAGTTTTAAAAATATTGAAGTAAATCATTCATTTAAATATTTTGATACACAGTTTATAATGGTAAAAGCAGATACTTATTTTGCATATTGAATAATTTCATGTGTGAAGAGGAAGCAAGCTAAAAAGAGCAACAGACTAGTGGAGCCCTGGTCTGTCAAATCCTAACCTTCTTTGGTGGGTTCTCGGTTTTGCTACTTGTGATGTATTGTTTGCAAAATCACCCTTATTATGACTCCTGACCTTCTACTCTTCTCCCCAGACTTGTTGGGAGCATCAATTTATTCACATTGTTACATTTATAGAAAGCCTACTTCTGACTCCTGCCTTACAAAACTGTCTTATTGGCAAAACACCTATGAATATTGTGAAGAGATATTTTAGAAGTGATTATCATGATAAAAACAGCCTATTAGCTGAATCACCTGGGAAAATTAATTTTTTCTCTTTGAGAGTGTTTTTTCACCTGTAAAAGGGTAATATTTCCCTTCTTTCAAGGCTGCTGTGATAAGGAAACCAAACACTACTTCTTGCAATATACCTGATATTTAGTAGGTGCTTGAGAGTCAGTATAAATACTGTTTGTACATTTCACAATTTACAAAGTGTCTAATCATCTATATTCTGTATATTCTGGTCCTTACTGTAAAAGGGCTACCTTATCTGGAATCTATCTATAAGCAACAATGCATTTTCAGTAGTTCTCTAAATTACTTGAGGTTATTATAGGCTTTTTAGTTCTTTTTATTTATTATTATCTAACAATACAAAGACAAACTAATCATCATCTTTTCACACACTAAATAAGTAACATGGGTTTGGGGGCTGGCTTTTAGGCAGGGAGAGATGATAGAATTATGGATAGAATCTTAGTGCTCTCTTTTGAAAAACAAGTTTGGATCTCTGTAGATGAAATCTGCACTATGATCTCATCAAATGTGAAGGCTTCAAAGCTCATTGTTGCAAACCTGATCTGGTTTGCAAACTAAAAATAGACATAAAAAATGAAACTATCAGGGATTTAGTCATCTCAAAGTAATTTCAGATTTTGTAATTTAGAAAAATATAAACCATAAATGACATCCAACAATTTACTTTAGGTTTAGTATGAGTGAACAAGACTTGTTTTTGTTTTTTCTTTTTAATATCTTAGATGTTTTGAAGAGAAATAAGATTCTTTTATTAATAATTATTAGTAAGAAGAATGTATTTCAATATAGCCTTAAACACGAAATTTGCTATGGTCCTATTGATGGTTTCATCAAAATCGAAAGAATCAGAATTACAAGTTTTAAAAAAAATACAATGGGCAGGGTCTACCCCAACTTCCTGGGTCAGAGTCTCTGGTTAAGAATGTGTGGTACAGAGGTTGCTGAAAACCCTTGGTGAATACATTTTCCCCAGTCTATTGAGATGCCTGGTTTTGGATCACCTGAAAGATCACTTGGGAAACCCAGGGACACTGGATTTCCTTTGCAGTTATGGCAAAGGAAAACCTAGTGATGCTGGAGGATGCTTAGGTTGTATCCTGTTTTAACAGTACTTAGTAGGATGATGCATAATCAACATCTTTCAGAATTTGGACAGAGTGTTTTCCTGTTCTTATGGTTCTACCTCCATAAGTTCCACCTATGTCCCTCTCGGATTAGTATTTTAGGAAAATATTTATTTACAAAAATAAAACCAGTTTCCTTCCCAAATAATTCAAACAGTTAAAGCTAAAAATACATATATGGAAATGTGTCTAAGGCAGCAGTGAGAATTAATGCAGAAGTTGAGTATACATAAGAAAATCTTTTAGGCCATTCTTTCAAGTTATAAATCTTAAAAGTGTATTAAAAACACAATTCACAATTAACTATAGAATATATTGGCATAGATAATAAAAAAAATAGTGGATCTAATGTCATTACAGTGGGAAAATACTCTAAGCCCAGGAAAATCTTATTTCTGTGTTACTTGATTTCTCCAATGAGTCTACCTCTTACCACTATGTAATGAAAAATACTGAATGGCTTAAAAGAACAACCCAGTTACATAAATCCACGTTACCACTCAAAGGAAAATCATGTAAAAGGTTTTGAGTGAGACAAATTTATAAAGCAAAAACTAATTTCATTCCTATATGTAAAATACATGAAGTCAGGTTCCAACTAAAAACCTGATACACCTAAAAACTTAGAAGTCCAGACCATAACATTCAGTTCTATGATTTTCAATTACTATGCTTTCCTATATTTGCTCAAAACACAGCTTTGCTTTCAGTATTTAGGATTTTTTCCACTTTTTTTTGCTTTTGCTTTTAAGTATCTTGGCTTCTATCTCAGCCCACCCTATCCTTCAACTATTATTAGAATCACTGTGATTGAACTCTACTACCACCATCTCCTGGCACTGCCCATGTTTCTCTGTCAAGTGCAACACTGATTTCCTAGGGTTAAGGCTGTGAGGACTTAAGAAATCTCATCCAGAAAAGACTGCATAATTCTGCAGCTTCCTTGGTGGGGCATCAGGTTTACCAAACTCACCTTGCAGGTAGCCCTTCCCATGGCTCAGACAGCTTTAGTGGTTGTGATTTTAACTTGTGTGGTTTTAACCATGTGATCCTAAGCAAATCTCAGCATCTCAGTCTGTTTTCTCTAAATGTGAAGGAAGAAAAAATAATGATTTCCAAGATCACACAAATCATAGAACTCCTATTTAAACAGCATTAACTAGACTAAAATGTTTGCTTGGAAAATCTTTGCCTCTGATGGATCTTGTTTAAGGGGCGAGGTCAGTAATTAAGAGGCAGGGGCAGCAATTTTTATCATGAAGTCAGGAATTTTCAGTGCTACTGAGCAGTTGTTCTGCATCTGATGCCTTAAAGGAGACCTTCCTGGTGGTCACTTTCTACCTAACACCCCTGCTGACAGGGAGTCTACACGGAGAGCCCGACTTGGTATTTAGGGAGCTCTCACCATGCGTTCATTATTATTATCATCACAGACACTTCCTGGAAAACTACCATTGCCCATGAGGGTGGCTCACCTGCTACCTCATCTACTTCTCTTAATTTGTGTCACTGCTGCCCACATCTCTTTAAAATCTCTTAGCCCTAGAATCAATTCTTGATTCTCCTTAGCCATTCACTGATCACTCTTTGGTCTAATTTCTTTGTTCCTTCTCATACCCTTCCCTGTTTAAGGTAATCATTTTGGGGCACCGCTTATCTTTCCAGGGAGAATGCTGAACCTGGGCTCTCTCCTTTTATCCCTGTCACGTATTTACTGCTCCACCTTAGACAACCCACAACAATCTCTGGGTCTCATTCATGCATGAGAAGGGGAAAGAACTGGATTTGAATATTGGGTTTGTCCCTGTGAGTGACAGTGTTGATGCTAATTCCATCCGTCTTCCACTAGTATGTGGTACCGTTTTGGCAAGCCTCTGGGAGTCAGTGACGGGGCTAAGGCCACCAGGAAATCATCAATGACAGTATGAGGAAGAATCTTAAAAATCATCTGGCCTGAAACCCTCGTTTTACAGCTGAGGAATCCTAGGTCCAGAGAAGGTACTTGATCACCCTATGGCAGAGAGAAGAATAGTAAGGTCTCCTAGGCTCTCACTTGTTGCAAAATTGGGATTTAAGTGTCTTCTAATCTGGTCAAAATGCATAATGATATCAGAGTAAAAAGTGATATAGAAAGTATATATATTGGTACAGAACACATTTAAACCTTTTTCTCCCTCTAACAGATAAACTCGCCATTATAACTATAAGAATTTTGGAGAGATATTTGCTATAGGTAGTGCTTAACACAAAATAGCACAATCACATAAAACATCTTAGATTTACATGTTGAAATAGCCAGATAAAACAGTAAGTCATGGAATACATATATTTACATTAATCTAAATGTCCAAAGCACAACAAGGTAGTCTCTATTTAGTAGCTCATATAATTTAAGATTTCATATCCAGAAGCATATGAACAAATATTAGTCTGCTTGAATAAAGGCTTACTCAGACACTTTGGTATTGACACATATTCTTGTCAACAATGATGACTTTAAATTTATCAAAGACATCTTTTCTACAGGATACAGAATGAAGAGAATGTACAGAATGGAAAAAAGACAGTCAACCAAATGTACCTTTCTTTAACTATTTACTGAACTCCACATAGGATGTGACATTATCCAGCAAATTTTATCAGTGCAATTAGTTCACTCTGATCTCAAATTATAATTTTGGCTGCATAATTCCCAAATCTAACTTTATACTTTATAAAATAATTGTTTCTTGTTTCTTCCTTGCACATCTTTTATAAAATGAAATGGGATACTAATGCTTTAAAACTAACTCAACTTTGGTCCTCATAAGTTAGCAAAGTATATTTTTAAAGACTACTAATATATGGAGTTTATTTTTTTCTTTTAAAAGTCCTGAATAAAGGGATAATGTCAGTCATATATCACTTCTGGGCCAGATCTGAAGTCATCAATGATGTTAAAGACTAAGATATTGTTATCTAGAACTTACTTTGGAAAACAGCCCCATCTTTCTCTGGCACATTGAGGAACCAAAGTGCTTTTACCTGCTTTCCTATCAACCCTTTTAAGAGGTCATTTTAGTTTTATCTCAACAAACAAAACAACACAATTACTGTCCTGCTATTTATACACAATTACATTTATACACAATTAAATATGTAATGATTAAATTACGACATCATACAAATACAGGCACACAATTACGTGGATGCCACAAAAGGTGTGTCTGAGAACACTGAATTGACTGAATCTGAGTCGGATTTCACCCTTGTGGACTTTAGGATGCCCTCAGCTATAACTGTCTCACTGGGGAAGAGCCTCACTTTCCCATTCTGCCCTGCGGCAGTATCCTTCAGGGGCTCCAAAAACACCACTCTTTTACTTGCCTTCCGTTCATCAGCAGAGGCATCACCAGCAGGGCCTGGACTGAGAATGGATGAATGGGCATTGCTTTGGTTGAGCACATTTTTCTGTCTCTTGGTTTTACACTTGCAGGGACACGGTGTTAGATAGAGGTACAAAAGTACCAAAATGATACTGGCCACACAGGCAGCAAGAGTGGTAAAAGCTGTGTTAAATGCCTCATGAGCATGGGATCTGTTTACAGTGAAATTGCTCACATTTATGGTGACATCCACAGTTTCATTTAACAGGCGCTGCCTATTCATTGCAATACAAGAATATACTCCAGCATCCTCAAAACGAGGGCTTTCTATCACCAGACTTCCATTGTAAAACACATGAAAGTTTTCCATCTCTTTATCCGGTTCCAGTAGTCTGTTATCTGGACCAACCCAGATGAAATCCGTGTTTCCATTACCAATCTTGCTGTCACAATGGACAACCAGTCTTTCCCCTACCTGAGCCTCACGAATAAAGCCAAGTGCATGGAAGGAACTATTGACTACGCTGTCAGAACAATTCATAAAGCTATCTTGAAGCAGAAGCAGCTGACTGGAGTGCCTGGAGCCAGACCACACGTGACAGATGTAATCGTTCTTAAAATCTATCACAGAACTAAAGCGCCTACGATACCAGAAGGTCAGCAATGAGTACAGGGAGCAGTCACAGACAAACGGGTTTCCATGTAGGTAAATGCCTCTCAGCTGTTTCCCTGGCACTAAATTTATATGGTGTATTGGTATGGAAGGGATTCTGTTATAAGAAACATCCAAGAACATCAGTTCTGCAAGCTTGAACCTTCCAACATACAAATCCACAGGAAACTGTGTGAGAAAGTTTCTACTTAAGTAGAGTTTCTGCAGCTGGGACAGCCCTCCAAATGCTGACTGGTCGAGAGAGGAGATGTGATTGTTGTAAAGCAGGAGCACTTCCAGGACCTTCAGTTCTTGGAACACAGCACTTTTCACTGTCTTCAACTTATTGGATGATACGTCAAGACACTTCAGATTTGGAGTTGTGGAAAAACTGCCAGCAGAGATGCTGGTGATATTGTTATGACGAATAATAAGGGTGTTCAGCTTGACAAATGACACCGGAATCCACTCAGAATCCAGAAGCCCAATTCTGTTATAGCTCAGATCCAGTCTCTTAATCAGTCTAAAAAGGTTCCCAGGCACCTTGGACAGGTTTTTGTTGGTGCAGCTAACAATGTCAGTGGCACAGATGCAAGCCGTGGGGCACAGGCCGGAGGCGCCCGGGCTCACAGTCACGGTTATCATCAACAAACACAGCAGCTCTCTGCAGCCCGGTCTGAGGACTCCTGGCAGGGTAGGCAATGCGTGGGACCGCAAAGACATTATGGTCGCCTCTGAGTCTCTTTTAGGAGCCTTTTCACCAGCTCGGGCCTCCCACCAGTCAATCTAGTAAACAATATTTAAGAGGAGGGGAAAGGCACAAGTTAACTACCAATTAGTTAACCCTTAAGAGTCATTCAGTACTTTTTTCCAATAACTTTTGAAATGGGTTCGATTCACACTATAGAGCCCTACGTTGCCTTTTTACTGCTAAATGCATCCTTCCCGCCCCCCCTCCCCCGGTTACTCCTGCTTTTGCAGGCACATTCTCTCAATACAACCGTCTCATCATCAGAAATTTAATTTTTTAAAAGGGTGCATCTTGCTTTTTTTTTTTTAACTCCCTTCAACAGACACAAAAAATACACAAACGAATGCTATAAACAATTAAACGGAAATACTAAACGAGGCACCAGTCCAAAAGACAACTCACAGAGCAGCGAAGCCTCACGTGCTCTGGGGATGGGCTGCTCACGGCGATGTTTTCCGAAGGCCTGCGCGCCTGTCGGTCTTTCTGTCTGCCTCGGTCACTTTCACACCTTTTGAGTTCTTTCTCTCCTGTTCCCGGCGGGCGGCAGCCTCTCGCTGACTCTCAACTTTGGGGACTTTCAAGCAGCCTCGGTGACAGCGGCCAGCCCGGGCGCAGCAGTTCTCTCCGCCGGCTCCACTCGGTTCTCTCGGGCTCCGGTCATTGCACCCGTGCAGGTACCACCTGGGCCGCGCGCGGGGCGCCCCGCTCCCCAGGTCGAGCACAAGGGACGGGGGCGCGGGCAGAGGGTAGGACCCCCCCGCCTCTCCGTACTCCGGAGGCTGAAGAGTCTCCGGGACTCCCCGCCAGCCACCCAGGCTCTATTCCCGCGCAGGGCTCTGGTGCTGGCTGGGGAGACCGGTCCCGCCCCAGCGCGTCCTCCCTCCTGCGGGAACCTGCGCGGAAGCCGCGGCCGGAGCAGCCCGGCGCTTGGCCGGGGGCGCGCGGCGGGAGGGGCGGCGCAGCCAATGGGAGAGGCGGCCGGCGCCCCTCGCCCCCCCCCCCCCCACGCCCCATCCCACCGCCCCCCGCGCTCCGCCTCCCGCTCCCCCCCAACCCACGGAGAGGCCTCGCGGCGAGGTTGCGCACCCGAGGGCGACGCGTTTCCCAGGGTGAGGACGCGCCCACCCACTCTCCTGCCAAACGCCTCAGTTCGTCCAGCCCCAAGCCTGGTGGTGGCGGGGTCGGGAAGGCGTAAGGAGAGACTCCCGGTCCCTGAGGATGGGGTCGCACCCTTGGGGACCCCTTAGCCGGGGTCACACAGGTGACGGCTCTCCCCACTCTGTCTTCGCAGTTCCCGTGCGTCTTTGCTCTTTGTTTTGGGGCGAGGATCATGGGGGCTTTCATTGGCGCTAAGTACAGTTGGCTTTGGAGGTTTACCAAAGGAACAGACAGAAGCAGCCTTTCGTCTCTGCCCACGTCTTGGGGGAGAGGGAGCGATTCTCACACGTTTCCTTTCGTGCGACCCGGGTCTCTGCGTGGGGGAAGGAACTGAGACGGGGCCACCCCTCACCTCCCGGGAAAGTTCTGTCTCTTTTCTGAGTCAGGACCGTGCCCAGTTCCTGAAGCAGGAGGGCAGGAAAGAGGGCTTGGCCCTGACCTGCAGGCCAGAATGCAAAGAGGAAGGCATTAACCCTTTGAAACAATTCCCTCCCCAGACCATTTTATTTGTTTTCATTTAGCAAACGTGGTAGCGGCCCCCGCTGGACCAGGACTGATCCCGGAGTGGTGTCAACGCAGAGGGACTTTGTCCCCTTCCTCAGAGGCCAGGCAGCTGCCAAACTCCAGCGACTTTGGTCCAGCAAGCAGGAAGGTGCGTCCTGAACACGGCCATGGGAAATGAGGTAGAGGGCATGAAGCTGATGAGCTTTTCGATTAAAACCCCATTTTTGTTTAATTCCAAGATTTAATGGTGGGATTTAACTGAGCCAAATGACCCATTTGGCCGTTATATCCGGATTACAAGAAATAAATTACTGTGCTAACAAAAGAGTCTAACTACAGCCAAAGGGTTAGGGAGTCCAACCCAAAAGTAGCCTAAATAGAGAAAAGAGGTGGAACAGGGCACATTATTTATAATATTACTTAAAAAATAAAAGCGCCGACTATGACAATTTCCTTGCTCCTGCGCCACACAGCACACACTTGAGCAACATTGAATTTAATGAAAATTGTCCCTGAGCGAATGTTGTGCTAGTGCAGGTCTGTTAGACCAGCTGATTTATATGAAACAGTGTGCATTGTTAATTTCGATTGTTGATGGAATAAACACTGAATAGCACTGGTTAAACAAGGTGCTTTCAGGTGAGGCAACTTGGTTCAGATTAAGTTTGGTGTCGTGAATAATTTTTAATCACGAAAATGCAGGGTGAAATGTTTCATCAAACATTCTTCACCTCTGGGAAAGACGTAGAGGTTGAGAGGGTTCTCCTGCTGGGCGACACCTCCTGGAGTTCTCAAAAAGCTTGCTCCCTAGGCCTTTGTTCTTTACAGATTAACTGGTTAGACTAGTTCCCCCAGAGAAATAGAGTTAAAATTACTCAGAGAAATACTTTTTAAATAACTAATAAATGACCAGATTTTGGCAGTATTTTACTAAGCAACTAATGCTCTATCCAAAGGAACTCATGAAGGCAGAAGAAAACCCTTTGTGTAATGAAAAAGACTCTAAAAAGAGTGACTAGAAAATGGAAGCAGAAGGTTATGTTGCTATAGTGGTGGGCATATCATAGTAACATTATGCAGCTCAAAATCCACAGACAGGCCTATTTAACCATTTGAAGTCCTAATGGTGTTTCTCACCTTTGTCAAGGAGAAGAGATACGTAAAAGAGATGGGTTTACTAGAGAAAAAGGTATCTTGACCTTACTGGTGACATAATTTTGTGGAACACATTTTTATACTTCTGGCATCCTTTTATTTTATTTTATTTCATTTATTTATTTTGGTACCGGGGATTGAACTGGGGTCCTTGCACTTGCGCAGCAGACGGCGAAACCACTGAGCTAAACCCCCAGCCCCATCTGGCATCCTTTTAAAAGTCATCTTCTAACTGATTCCCTCTGTATTAGCCCATTTTCTGTTGTATAACAAAATACCTCAGTACTTTGTCTACAGAAAAAGGTTTGTTGAGCTCACAGTTTCGGAAGCTGAAAGTCCAAAATCAAGTGGCCCTCATCTGTTCAGCCTCTGAGGACACTCTTGGCTGCTAACTACATGATCAGTGTCATGGCAAGAAGAGACCACATGTTGGGACAGGAAGCCCTCAGTCTCTGAGGGCTATACTCCTTCCTTTTGTAACAGCTCTCTCTAGTAACCGGGATCCCTTAGTTATTAGTCCCTTCTGAGGGTGATTCCTCCATGAACTAATTACCTTGTACAAGGCCTGACCTGGACACCACCACACTGAGAACCAAGCTTTCAGCATATGAATGTCTGGAGGACACACTCAATACCAGTGCATAGCACCTTCTTTCCACTAGTAAGTACATTCCATGAGGGCAGCAGTGTTATCTATCCTGGTAGCTACTCTGTTCTCAGCTCCTAGAATCCTGCTTGACGGTTGACATTCAATAAATATTTGATGAATGAAGTGATTAAGGAAGAATCTCTTCTGGGCGTTTAAGGTGTGCCCCCCACACACACACACACAGAAAAGGGTATGGTTTACCTCGCCCGAGTCTCCTGGTTGTCTTCCTACCCATTACACTTAATAAGGCTTATTTGAAAGTCAGAGGGGGAAGGGGAGAAAGAGGAGCCCTGTTATAAAGATCACTTGAGTCTTGGAGCCAGGGCCTGAAAGCCATTGCACATTTTACTTTTCCTTTACCACCCCCTTTTTTTGCTTAAATTGAGTTGTACTTATGTCACTTGTGACTAGTAGAATCCTAACACATACAGGGATGGTGATAATAAATATATATTGGGCCATTATTATGTGCCAGACCCTGAACTGTGTGTTGTAGATACATTATTTCATTACTGCTCACCACAAACCTACAGCATGTTGTAATCCTATAAACCAAATGGTAAACAGCTGTGCTCTCAATTATTTGAAAATGGAATGGGTTGGAATGATCTTGAGGTTTCATTTGAAGGATTTAGATTAAACAGAATAGAGATGTTTCTGCCAGGGTGGTTCCAACCTGGAATGGGTACCAAGACAGATGGTTGAGTTGGCTTCTCAGGAGTTTAAAATAGGACAGATATTCCTCTGGCCTCTTCCACATGGTGTAATCTGCAGGCATGTTCGACTGTTCAGTATGACTGATGGACAGTGGAGAATGTGTTGACGCTTGACATGACTTGAATCTGTTATGCTGAAACAGGTGCAGTCAGGTGAGTGTCTTTCTGAGTTTAGTAGTTCCTGCCTGGAGGCAGTGATTTGAATAGATGAAATCTTAAGGGTTCTTGTAGGTCTGTAGAATTTCTCAGATCATGTTGAAAGACTATTAGAGAAATGAAACAAATGGTTAGAACAGTTGTTGGGAGACTGTGAGTCATTTTTGCTAATAATTAACACTTTAATAACACTTTATATCCTACGAAGGGCTTGTGGATTCTTTATCCTATTGGATTCTAGCAGGTGTCCTGTAATCCAGTGTAATTTGGACTCCAGAAGGTCTTGGTGCTTTTTTTTAGCCTGGACCATCCTGAATGTCCTTTGGAGATGGTACTCACTGAGGTCCCCAGCTCTGCACACAGAGCTTTCTGTGGAGGGCCTCCTCAAACAGCCCTTTTTGTGGAGTTCTCACAGTGTGACTTAAGCCTTGGCCCACAAGAAACAAATGGCTTTGTATCAGCTCTGGAAGTACACAGCTCCTGCTGCAGCCTGTCCTTTCTCTGCTCCAGTTGTTGTTTGTAAATTGCCCGAGATTTGTTGTGAAACCAGACCTCTTACCCCATCTCATGTCCCTCGCTATGAGGAGACATATTTTAGGGGAGACTCAGACTCTAGCCCCTGTACTCTCTGAACTCCAGAGGCATGTGACAACTTGTCACTTATTTCTCTGAAAGCTCCCTTTACTTGGGTGGAAGTGGCAAGGGAGGGGGAGCCCCATGAGAATGCAGCTCTTTAAGCAGTTCCCACTCACTCATCCTGTTGATATCTTATCTTCATTAACATGGTCTGGATATGGTGTTTTCCCTTTAATTTCATTGATATAAAATTCACATAACATAAAAGGCAGTGATTTTTAATTTACTCAACAATATTGTGTAACCATCACCTCTATCTAAAGTCAGCTTTTTTTCATCACCTCCAAAAGAAGCCCTGTACCTGCCACGTAGTCATTCCCACTCCCTTTCCTCCCAGCTGCTGGCAAGCACCGATCTCCTTTCTGTCCCTAAGGATTTGCCAGTTCTGGACATTCACATACATGAAATCATACTCTACGATCTGTGTCTGGCTTCTTCCACTTAACGTTTTCAAAGTTTGGATGGGTTTTTCAGTTTACCGATTGTGGAACCAGATCATCCCGTTGAAATCCCTGTATAGCTGGTTTACCTGTACTTGAACTTAGAATGTGGCAGTGGAGTCCAAAGTCTCATTTATCCAGAGTCTTCCATTAAAAATGTATAACATAACTTCGTGA